GCAATTGGATGCAAATGGGTGTTTACAGTTAAAGTTAATCCAGATGGGTCGTTGCTCGGCTAAAAGCTCGTCTGGTTGCTAAAGGATATGCTCAGACCTACGGAGTTGATTATTTTGTTACTTTTTCCCCTGTGGCTAAGTTCACCTCTATTCGGCTGTTTATCTCTATGACAGCTACTTATGATTGGCCTTTGTATCAGCTAGACATCAAGGATGCTTTTCTTCATGACGATCTTTAGGAATAGGTATATATGGAGCAACCTCCTGGGTTTGTTGCTCAGGGGGAGTATGGGAAAGTATGTTATCTTCGCAAATCTCTGTATGGTTTAAAACAGAGTCCTCATGCTTGGTTTAGAAAGTTTAGCCAGGCTGTTGAGAGATTTGGTATGCTGAAATGTAAAACTGACCATTCTGTTTTCTACAAACGGTTTGAAACTAGTATCATTCTTCTAGTTGTGTATGTGGATGATATCGTTATTACTGGGAGTGATAGTGTGGGCATCACATCTCTTAAGTCTTTTCTCCATACCCAGTTCCACACAAAAGACTTAGGGATATTGAAGTATTTCTTGGGGGTTGAAGTTACAAGGAGCAAACGAGATATATTCCTCTCTCAAAGGAAATATGTGCTCGACTTATTAACTAAGACATGAAATTGGGGGCAAAGCCATGTAGTGCTCCAATGGTTTCTAATATGCAGCTTACGAAAGATCACTACAAGAAAACTAGCATTCTGCGTCTAGCAAAATTAGACGCAGAAAGTCACATTTAGACGTTAAGCCATTTTTCGCATCTAAATTTGGTAGTCACCCCTTAGTTGCAATATCGCTGGCGCAGATTCATAATGCGTCTAAATTTTTGTTTAGACGCGAAAAGTTTTTTTTTTTTTTTTTTTTTTTTTTTTTTTTGCGACTAGCAAATAGTTGCTCAAATGCTGGCTCTATTTTAAAACCCGAACCGGACCGGTCGGTTAGATCGGTTCGACCGGGAGCCGGCCTTTACTTCGGTCCGAGTTAACACAAAATTGGAAATATTTATTAAGCCGTTTTGGACCGGTAATGGATTGACGGAACAGAAAAAAACCGTTGATTCGACCAGCCTGGAGCTTAAAACGGTTCGTCTAATCCAAAAAAATTCATGTTCTTAATCTCTAAACCAATTTCAGCACCGTTTCATTATCTTCTATTTTCATCTTCAATGCTTCTTCACGACACTTACACTAAAATATACTGGTAAAGAAGAAGAAGGAAGGGAAGGGAAGAAGAAAGAGAAGAGGAGACACGGGAAAGAGTAAGAAGAAGATTAGAAGAAAGAAAAGAGGAGATGAAAAGAAAGAGAAGAGAGAAAAATTACAGTAGACGAAGAAGAAAGAGGAAGAAGAGAAAGAGAAAGAGAAGAAAGAAGAAGAAATTGACGGGGAGTGATGGGGAGAGAGAGAAAAAAAAGGAGAGAGAATTGATGGGGAGTGATGGCGTGATTGGGAGAGAGAAAAAAAGTGAAAGATGAAGGTGATAGGGAGAGAGAAAAAATAATTAATAATAAAATTGAGGGTCCATTTGCTTTATTTTAAACTTAGAGGGGTTTATTGTAACTTTTAGGGATGTATTTGCTAGTTTTTAAACCTATAACAATTAATAGAATTGTTTAAAGGTGGTATTGTTATATACTGGTCAGACCGACCGGTCCAATCGGTTGGACCGGTCAACCCGCGAACCAGCCTCTTAACCGGGTCAATGAACGGTCCGGCTTTTAAAATAATGAATGCTGGTCAAAATAGTCTTTCAACTTAGACGCTAAAAGTTCAAGGGTAATTTGGTAAAATTGTATAGCGACTAATCAATTAGTTGCAAAATGTACGTTTTAGTGTCTAATAATTTGTCGCGAATCCCACAAAAATTAGACGCCAAAGGTGTAAGAGTAATTTCGTAAAAGGTTTTCGCAACTATTTTATTAGTCGACAAATGTATTTTTTGGTGACCAAAATTTAGTGATTAATTGTAATACTTTTAGACGCTAAATGTAAAATCCAAACTGTTTTGGCGACTATTTTATTAGTGGCCGAATGTATCTTTTGGTGACCAAAATTTAGTAGTTAATTATAGTTATTTCAGATGCTGAATGTGAAATCTAATAGGTTTTGGCGACTATTTTATTAGTGGCCGAATGTATCTTTTGGTGACCAAAATTTAGTAGTTAATTATAGTTATTTCAGACGTGAATGTGGAATCCAATAGGTTTTTGCGACTATTTTATTAGTGGCCGAATGTATCCTTTGGTGACCAAAATTTAGTGGTTAACTATAGTCATTTTAGACGCTGAATATGGAATCCAATAAGTTTTCACAACTATTTTATTAGTAGACGAATGTATCGTTTGGTGACTAAAATTTAGTGGTTAATTGTAATCATTTTAGACGCTGAATGTGAAATCCTTGCGACTATTTTTTAGACGCTGAATATAAAAGCAATTATACTAAATTACTTTTTGCTATTAAAACATTAGTTGCTGTGTTTTTTTAGAGCATTTCACATTGACCTTCAGCGGAATGCAATTATGCTAATGACTTTTTGCTACTAAAAAATTAGTTGCAGAATGTGTTTTTTTTTTTTAGAGCATTTCGTATTGACCTACATTATACATTCAACATCAACAAAATAATAGACAATATAAAAATCTGATCACTAAATCAAATATCATATTTTCATACATATATATATAATCCATACATGGATTTTTATGCATGATGAGCAATAAAAATCCAAAATGCACTATCACATGTGCATAACCCAAAAGAACAGCATGCACCCACATTTTCCCCACTACCTATCTATCTGTGCATAACTAACAAAAAAATGTCCACCCCATGTACACCATCTAACACATATATGCAAACAATCCTAAAAAGATGGTTCTACCCCCATGTCAAAATATCTACTGCCCATACAACAAAAAAATAACCATCAATACCGTTAGCATGTCAAGTGTCACCAGTTGCGATATTTGAAATAGCTGTAGCTGATGAGGACGAGTCTTCATCAATTGGAGATGGAAAACGTTGTCGAGTTGGAGCTTTATCAGATTGTTGTAATTCAAGGGCTATAGTTAGTTGCTTCATCATCTCCAATAGGACAAATTGTTGGTGTTCAAGGCTTTTTATTTTCTCTTTTTGTTGATCAAATAACATGAGCTACTCCTCCAACTGTTTAATCTTATTTTCTTATGGTTACACAATGCACCTTAACTCTACTTCTGCTGCAGTGGATTGATGCTCAGTCTGTGAAAATGCAAAATTCTGGTTAAATCCGAAAGCTTTACCCAGGACTTCCTCACATATTTCAGCTTCTGTTTTTTCACTTTCCCCTGCTTGTGTTTCCTATTGCAACTCTATCATTTTTTTCCTACCATCAATTGAATGCATAATCAATAAGTCAACCAACAAACTAAATAGCAATATAAAAGAATATTGTAGCACCAAACAAAAATAAATTTGATGGAGTAGAGAAGCAAGTATCTTAAACATTATCAATCTAATACTAAAAGACAAAGTCTGACATAAAGTTTTTATATTGAAAACTGTGAAATTATATGTTTTGTCGTTTATTACCATCACCTAATGGAGGTCTGGATTAAAAAAAAGTGTGGATGTCTACATCTGAGAATTTTCTTATACACGTATATGTAACAGATTTACAGTCACATATCTATGCATAAACATGCTAAGTAATTGGAAAGATAAGGGTTGTTGCATTTTGTAAATATCATAAAAGTGATGTGGCAAGGCTATTATGGTGACTCGGAATGGAAGTTGATTAGTTCAGTATTACTCATCAAGAAGTATAAATCTGTACATATGCATTTCCCATTTTCAAAGTGTTTTAATTCTCTAAGAGGCAAAACAAAGCCATGGTTCTCTACCATTGCTAGCAGAGCTCCCAAGGACATACACTACCACACTGTAAAAACTCCACTAACGTACATGATCTTCAGCAATCATGAAGCTGAATTGTTCGAAAATAACAAAATTCATTTCAGAAGATGATGTGCATAATTTTAAATCATTCTGATTTAGGTGGTTTCAATCAAGCTGAATCTCAATTCCATGGAGGAAGACTTCACACACACACACAAAAGAAAAAGAAAAAAGATAAAAGAAAAAATCTAATCTCATCCATCCAAGTTCAGCGATACGACATTCAGATTATAAATTTAGACAATAGTAATATCTAGATCATAAAATCCTCAGTAGAATTAATTCAAACCTCCATTAGGTGATGTTTTAAAGTTACATATTTACTCTGAAAATAAAATGCTCTTAAAGGCTCCTAAAATTGCACTTTTAGTTATAGCATGTCCCTAGGATGGATGACAACTGACGCAAAAATGCTTTAAAGAAACTTTGAAATATCTACATAAACCATGAAACAGGTTTTTCCTACTAGAAGAAACTCCAACTTTCTGCTTTAAAATATACAAACTGTTAAGTTCAATCAAGAGAAACAATATAACACAAGTTAAATTTCAGCCTTATCCTGCAATGTTTGTAACATATCAATAGCAAACCACAACAAAGTTATAAAAGTTTGGTAACACTCAGGAAAACTAAATGCCAATATCAAACAAATGCACAAGCACCAACATAATTACAGGTCAAAAGATGACAGAGAAATGCAATGAGACTCAAATTAAAACAATAAAAGCATGGCAGTATGGAACAGTTACGGAAAAACAATACATTTATACCCAATTGAATGGTAAGACATTTCATATATCAATAATTGAAAGATGATCAACTTACATATAGCTCTCTTCCTTGTTCATTAATCCACCCTTTCTCGGTGCTCCAACGAGTGTCATGAAATAATTGTATAGGACCGACAGATTCCCCAAGTTGGTGCGCCTTAACAGTTCATATCGTCATTGACCATAAATTGAAATAAAATTAGTAAACAGGAAAACAAAGTAGTATATTTGTATAGGTGAATCATATTAAATACCTCTTCCTTTTTGTGCTGGATAAAGTTCTTGGAACCACTGCGGTGGTTACACCTCATCTTCGACCGGTTCTCAGAATAAGTTTTTCAAATATAAAAACATAGAAAGCAAGTTCCTGTCCTTTTAAAAATGACCAAAGGCTAGCGCAAACAGAATTGTTTTCAATATAAACTTCTTATTGACAACTCCATTAATGATTATGACATAGATCAGAGACCAAAGGTATACTTTGGAAACTACTTGATTTCCCGAAATAATGTGATCAAATGGTAGATATCTTATCATATCTAATTCACAACCATTGTGGCAAGTGGTGCAAGCACGTAAACAAGAAGGATAACAGGTAGCCTACAATATTCAATTACTATAAAAGACAGAAAAAAGGTCAGTTACTTCTTCAATTTCGTAAAATAAATCATAATAATTGATTTTCACACCTTAAGTGCTTAAACCACATAATAAGTATGGACCATGGCAGAGTGAAATCGAAGATCAATTACTTTCTTCAATGATATCTTTTGAGAGATTAAAAATTTGTAGGGCTCTAAGATAAACTCAAAAGCACTCTAATGGCCAAATATTCTATATGACAGATCTTTGTTATTTTATTAGATTTAATAAGTATGGCCTAGAGAGAAAATGAAGGAAAGCTTAATAAAATTCAGCCCAAAAAAAAAAAAAATTAGTTTTACAAAAATCTGTGGAAGAAACCAATATTTAAATTTGCAAAAAATTTGCAAACGGTCATATGCTTTATTTTTCCAGCTTAGGAATATTTTATAGATACCAATTTGGATGGAAGCCCTCTTATAGCTAACATATTGACTTTTACATGTTATACGTTTTAGTGACTTGTTGACATGGACAATTTATTCCGCTTACTACTCATCATTTCATTAGAAAAAGAACTACATACAGATACCAACTATTTGTCATATACACAAAATTTTAACTCCAACATAACCTGTCCCCCCTTATTGTTCTTTTGCAATGCCTTCTTTGTACAACTGGTGCTGATTATATTTCCCTTTTGTAGCAAATTTTACGCCGATATTCACAAATAGCTTTGTTGCCTACAATATCTGTTTCATAAATATATGGAGAAGACTATTCATTTATAAGGCATATATGCAGTCATCTGATTTCTTATCTCAAAAGATCATAATCCTAATAGCCAGAAAATAAAAAGTCTTGTTCAAAATAACCTTCAAATGCATGTTCCTCTTTATTGATTAATAAAATCTTTTCTTCAAACACATTTTCTTCTTCTTGATCTCTCAATTTACTTCAATTCTTTCCCTATGTAGTTACATACTGAAAAATCTATTTGGCTAGGAGAAGGTACATATGGCTTCTTCTAATGAGGTTGTGAAAATCATTCTTCAGATAGTGTATTTCATACGGGTTCTGATTTAGAAGATAGTGAACTTATTTTCTCCACTGTTCACTTAAGGTGCTTGATTTTCTTCATCTTATTATTCATTATTTTCCCATAAATACAAACACGGCCCCAATGCAAGTGAATCCCAATACTGTAAGGTTTTGGTAGCAATGTTACTTCTGATCAACATGGATGAGTACAGATATTTGTATGAATCTAAACTCTAGGAAAATAGGATACAAGACGGAGTGATTCAATCTTACCCCTCCTTTGAAAAGATATAACACTTTGGCTTCGTTAAAGGATTGATCTTTCCAAAAGGAAGAGAAGAAATAATCCTATAGCCATTAAAGGTAATGAGATTGCTAGGAAATGGGTGATCCATAGAGAAAACTATGAATAACAAGATGATGTAAAAAATCTGGCGGCTAAGAGCGCTGCATCAAGGAAAAAGGTTAACCATTTTCCAAATGAAAGCCCTTGTGAATCTCTTCCTTCTGATGATAACACTTGAGCTTGATTCTCTTAGATAATTTGCATAATAGCCACAGGAGAAGGCACTTGATACCTTTCTAAATCATAATATATCTACTAATCTTAATCTATAACAAGAATGCAGGACAAAGAATAGAAGAAAATCAAAAGATAAAGATGTAGAACAAGTGTTTGAAGAAAAGACCGCTTCAAGTAGTAAATAGGAAAAAGGTAATTGAAGATTACTCTTAACTAAACATTTCCTCTTTTCCAACTCAGGATGCTTTCCAACTGAAGAAAAGGAAACATTCGCAAACCATATTGAGAAGGTATAGTAAAGATAAGCATCAATTTGTCATGTGCATTGTATTACAAGTTGATAATTTCTTGCCTAAGACAAGGGTTAATAAGGGGGAATTGTGAGAGCTATAGTTCTATGTACATGTCAAGTAATTGTTATGTGTATAACATTCTTTTTAATTCAAACATTTACATATTGAGAAGAATAAGTATAGACATCAACGTGTAAGAATCAATATGATTGCCAATAGGAGAACCTTTCTTCAAACACTATGAAGGCTTTTCTTCAAATTTTGTTATCTATAAATGCCGCTAATGAAGAATAAATAGTCTAACCGCTAATGAAGAATAAATAGTCTAACACTTATAACTTCAACAAAAGTATGAGCACAAGTTTCTTCCAAAGAATTCTCTAGAATCAATTCTTTTGATTGAACATTGTTTTATTTCCAACATTTTCTCATTGAACATTCTTATTAAACCTGATAAACTAGAGTAAATCATATATGAGTAAATCCGACCACAAAATAAACATGGACTGAAATAGGCCAGAAATCCTAATATTTCCTTCTCTTTTCAGACATACAAAATGACTAGCATGGAAAGGCATGGATGAAAATTAAAACTCAAATATTTACTAACCATCAAGGGAAGCTTTAAGAGGGCCAACGAACTCAGGAAAGTCAATTTCTTCAATTTCTTTTAATACTTCATCAGCATTAATAGTTTGCCTCTTTGACTCCTTGCATATATCATTAGCCCTGCAAGTAATTTTTACCCCATAAACACTAGCTCACAACAAAAATTCATACCCAAATTCTCTTAACATAAACTTTGTACTAAAAACACCAACGTCATGCTGCAAAAACCACATAAGAGCTTCCATATAGTCATCAAATCCCAAGCAGTTAACTTAATTTAACTAATACCCACTTGACAAACATTCCAGTCATCAAACTTTCGAAGAAAAAAATTGAACTTTTGTGATAAAATTTCAAAATATCCAAGATTCACCTAAGAAGTAAATATAAAAACTCTAAATGGGTGAGTTGAAACAATGAGATGGTTGGTTATTGCTTACGTGGCGGAGAGGTAGTGGATAAAGATACGGGCGCTTTCGATGAAAGCGAGAAGGGAGTCTTTATTGACGGTGATGTCAGTATCGGGTGAACACTCGTTGAGCTTATCCTTAACCACTCTGTGCACGATAGTCTTGGGCAGCTCTTCCATCTCTGATACCATTTCATCCGTTTCCATCTCTGAAGAAACCTTTGATTTTTCGTTCAACTATTCTGTCAAAATAGGGTGGGTTTTCCATCAGAAACCAAATCTATTCCATCAAATATAAAAACGTAATTTACTAATCAACAACACAAATTACTGTAAACAAGAAAACGGTATGAGGAGAAACATGATCTTTCTCAAAATCACCTATAAATATTGTACATTACCAGTTTCCTAACACAATAAATACCAAGTCTGATGTGGTCCATCAATCCATCAAATGAGCACTAACTGAAACTTCTTCTATTGGGGTAATCGCGAGGGATTTGCGTGAAGAGGAAATTGGGAATTTGGGGAAACAGGGAGGGATTTGCGTGGAGAAGAGAAGAGGTAGGTAAGGTTATGAGATTGGGAATTTGGGGAAATAGGTAGGGATTTGCGTGGAGAATAGAAGAGTTAGGCTATGAGATTGGGAATTTGGGGAAATAGGTAGGGATTTGCGTGGAGAAGATTGGGAATTTGGGGAAATGCTTGCTTTATACAGGTTAGAGTTTTCTGTAAATAACTTTAAAAAGTAAGGCTTATAATTAGTTGTTTAATTTTTAAATATAATTATATTTAAAAACAAATCAACCTACAACTAAATTTTTGTTAGGAAAGAATTAGTTATAATTGTAAGTCTGGCGGGAACTAATAATTTAGGGGGAAGATGAATTTTTCAACTTAAATTGGCAATTAAATTGAATTTAGTTGCTTTATATAATTTTTTGCAACTATTGTTAATATGAACACAAACATTTGTTGCTAAAAATGCCTTGGGCCCTTGTAATTATTGTCCAAATATATGATATTTTGGTAATTTAATTTTTCTGTAACTAATCATAATAGTTACTAATACATTCTTAATTAATCGCAACTAATTTAGCTACTAACGGGTAGTTGTAAAAAAATGTTTTTTATAACCAATAAAGTAGATGCAAAATAAAATATTTTAGATGTAAATTGTCAAATTATGGAGGGAAAAATGGCCTACCAAAAATTGCAACTAAATTTATTAGTCACTAAAGCGACTTGTTTTGCAACTAACAAAATAGTCGCAGAACATTAAGTTTAGAAGCCAAAAGTTGGAACATATAGACCCTGAAATTGAGTTGCTCTTTGCCCGACCAATGGCAATTTAGTTGGTAAATGTAGCCTTTTTGTAACTAATTCTGGTTAGTTGCTAAAAAATTGGTTGCAGAATGTAGCTTTTCTCGTAATGGATAGTGAACTAATTGGAGATCCTGAGAAATGTAGAGGATTGGTCGGAAAGTTGAACTATCTTATGGTGACTCATCCAGATATTGCATATTCAGTAAGTGTTGTCAGTCAGTTTATGGCCCTCCCAACAATTCATCATTGGGCAGCGCAGATCTTGTGTTATTTGAAAATAGCCCCTGGACGTGGTATATTATATGTCAATCATAGTCACTCTCATATTGAATGTTTCTCAGACGCAGATTGGGCAGGTTCCAAGGTAGATAGAAGATCCACATTATACTATTGTGTCTTTGTCGGAGGAAATTTAATATCATGGAAGGGCGAGAAGCAGAAATTCATGTTACGATCAAGTGCAGAGTCGGAATATAGGGCTATGACACAAACTATTTGTGAAATAATGTGGATATATCAGTTCCTGATTGAAATAGGCTTGAAACTTCAGTACCAGCAAAATTATGATGTGATAACCAAGCGGCTCTTCATATTGCATCTAATCCAATGTTCCATGAATGAACAAAACACATTCAAATCGATTGCCATTTCGTCCGTGAGAAACTACAGCAAGGTCTGATTTCCACTGGGTACGTGAAGACTGTAGAACAATTGAGAGATATCTTCACAAAGGCTCTAACTGGGATTCGAGTTGATTATCTTTGTAACAAGCTGGGCATGATTAATATCTATACTCCAGCTTGAGAGGGAGTGTTACAGATGTATATAACTTCCAGGATTATAGGGATCACATTGATATCCTGGATTATAGGGATCACATTGATATCCTGGATTATAAGGATCACATTGATCTTGTATTCTAATAGAGATTGATCACCTACCTAGTTTAGAACACTACAAGTATATATAAATATGTGTTCTTTTATTCTATGAATGAAAATGTGTGAATATTCATCCTTAATACGTTTTACAGACTATCAAAATAAGTGTTATTTACGCTTGTATTTTCTGTTCAGAATTTACGGCCTATTGCTCCACCTGACAAGACAAAGGAAGATATATTACTTTTCTTCAAGCTTTATGACCCTGCGAAAGAAAGCTACGGTACTTTGTTGTTTTCTATTGTATATTTGTGTCTGTGAGTGTATTTTTTTTTTTTTTCTCTTCTGGAATAACACCATTTGATTTAGAGATTATTTTTCTACGATAACAGCTATGTTGGAAGGCTTTTTGTGAAGCGTACTGTTAATCCGGCGGAATATTTGGCAAAACTAAATAAAATGGCTGGCTATGATCCTGATGAAGAAATCGAACTCTATGAGGTTTGTTTCCTGTTGCTTATCTTTCATGAGAATGGTGGCGAACTCAAGCTGAGTAGTTAATTAAGAATTGCTTAGTCTATTACTTTATTAGAAAAGCTGAAAAAAGGATAGGTTTCTCTTCAATTGTTGTTACTAAGGGTTGGATTGCTATAGTATTTCACACTTATTTTCTATTTTACTTATTCAATAGTTAATGCAAAATTATTTAGTACTGTATTTGGAAAGAAAAAGGATCCGAGCACTCAAAATTCTCTCAAGAAAAAATAGTCTTAAATTTAAAAAAAAAAAAAAAAAAAGCAACTTCCGTGTTTCTTAAAATGATATATGTTAGTAGTAGTTAATCACACCGTTTTATGAAATTTAAAGTTTGGGTGTGCTAATAGTTTGTGGCCCCTTAGAGACTTACATTGTTTCTTATTTTTTGGAGATGATTTCGTTTAGTTATGCTTGGACTTGAAGCCAATGTCATCCTTGCCTGGGAGAATAAAATTATGATAATTAGGTGCTCTCTGCCATAAAGTGTGTAGGGTACTTGCTGGTATGCAACTTGTCTCAGGTCCACTTGTCTATCTCTCCATGCTTTGGTTATTTGGAGTGACTGGTGAATTAAGGGTTGACTTTTAATATTGTCTGAGAGCTAAGATCTCTAGTGACTGGATTTTGTGGTTTAAGTCCATTCTCGAGGTTGTATTAGAACGTAGGTTTATTTGATAAGGAATTAGCATGTCATATTTAAATTTGCATGGTTGTATGCATTATTTTGAGGATGGTAGCTTACTCATGTTTTGATATTCAGGAACTTAGGTTTGAGCCCATTGTGATATGCACACCCATTGAAAAGAGAGATACATTTCGAGCTAGCCAGGTAAATGTTATGCATAACAAACATGGTGTGATTTGTTTTCCCTGTGATAATGTTTAACTCCGGCATTGTCTCTGTTGCAGCTTATAGATGGAGATATTGTTTGCTTTCAAAAATCTCATACAGTTGAAAGTGCTGAACAATATCGCTATCCAAATGTTCATTTTTGGACTATGTGCATAATCAACAGGTACACCTCCATGGTTCCTATTGTATTCAGAAAACAAACTTTTCTTTGATATTCATTTTGTTTTATTATTGGTTTACAATCTCCCTACATTTGTGATTTATCTCTTTGCTTTTTTGTAGTGAACATCTTCCTTGTCATCCCTAGACATTGGGTTTATTTTTTTATAATTAACTGGTATTCATCAACTCGTCATTTAACGTTGCTAAATTTTGCATGATTTTGTGTGGTAGGTGGTTGTCCACTTTCGATCTCTTGAAAAGCCAAAGGAAGATGATTTTTGTCTAGAGATGTAAGGGCTTAATAGTAGATGAAGTTGAATTCTGTTATTTTACTGCGGATTTATCTTTTTGATTGTGCATTATTTTATGTATATGTATATTTCCGAGTAATTGTATCTGATACGATTGTGTTTTGAACGTCAAGGTCAAAGCTTTTTACGTATGATGTTGTTGTAGAAACAGTAGCTCAGATACTGAATTTGGATGATCCATCCAAAATCAGGCTTACATCACATAACTCCTACTCTCAGCAACCCAAACCTCAACCTATTAATTACCATTTGGCGGATATGCTGATTCAAAACGACCAGGTAGTACTCATGGTCCTAGTTAATGTGGGATGTTGAAATTTAATGGAAAATGTAATATTATGCTTTTTCTCACCATGTTCTTGGACAAACTTCTGGTATATTGTACTATGAAGTATTGGACATTCCTCTGCCAGAATTAGAAAGTCTGAAATTTCTTAAAGTAGCATTTCATCATGATATGAAGGGTGAAGTGAGTATGCTGATCAATTTCTTAAGTTACTCTTAAAAGATGTTGAGCCTTTTTCCTGCTTTTAGGCAGAATCTGTTTGTGCTTCACTTTTTTACTTAAATCTAAATTTCTAAAGCAGGTGGAGTTGTCTCATCTTGATGCAGAACTCCGGTTGCTAGAAGTTTTCTATCGTACGATGTACAAGGTCTGAGGTTTTCTATAATGAGATTTACAACGTCTTATTCGTGCGAAGAGATATAAATTTCTACTTGATTCCCCTCAGAACCTTGAAGGAATTGAAAAAGAAACTCCTGCTGGAAAGAAGGGAGCTGAGGAGGCCACCAGTGAGGTCATCATGTCTCACTAGGCTTGGGGAAAATTTTAATCGTCAAGTGGAACAAATAGGTTTGCAGAACATATTGGAGAATCCAGCTGCTGCTTTAGAGCTATCTAAAAGGCTCCGCTCTACAGGAATGAAGGATTTGAAAAATGATTTATCAGATGAGTTGATGGCATCTGTGCCTTCTGAAGTTTCCGTTGTTCGGGTTAATACTTAGTCCATTTTGTTCTGTTTATTCTCCTCTTTCAACTTTCCATTTCATATGCTCATTTTCTCAGGACAAGGTAGTCTTATATGCATTTTTGAAGATATCAGAGAGCAGAATGTCCAATCTGAGCGCTGAGGTTAC